AGTGGAATTCAGCTTCAGTAGAGCAACGTCTTTGAGCATCTGGTGCAGATCATTCCGTCTTGGAAAGGGTGGCTGAGTGAGATCCTGGCTCACACGTGGTACGACAGATCACTCAGAACGAGTAACTGTTCAGTTTGACTACACAACGTTTCCTAGTTAAAGATTTTTTTTTTTTGAACTAATTCTTCCCTGCGGTCTTAGACGAAAGAGACCTCTTCATCCAACAAAGTCTAGTCAAAACTACCACTTCTGACATTTGAGGTCTTTAGGGCACTGAATATTGCTGAGAATGGTCAATGGGAGAAGAGATGTCAGTTTTAATCCACTGAATTCCAGATTTGTGTAATGCAGGTTAGTGTTACTCGTGAATATGCTTTTACTGTCATTTTTCTTGCTGATACATGATGTCAAAGGAATTGGTGAATTTGCAGGAACTGGCAGTATTAGTTCCAGGAGGAATCACCTACCAAAGAGCAAGGGTTCAATTGTGTTGAAGAGATCTATTACAGGTGCCCCAAATAGGTAGGATAGGGAGCAAATCCTAGACAACTAAGGCGATCTGCTAAGCTGGGCCTAGAAACTGCGATCGGCAGGACAAAATCCACGTGTCAGCCAGTTAACAGTGGTGATCTTCAGGGGTCAGTACCGGGGCTGACGCTGCTTGATGTTTTTATTAATAACCTGGACAGTGGAACAAAGTGCACTTTCAGCAAGTTCACAGATGATAACAGACTGTGGGAAGCCATTGATATGCTGAAGGGTAGACCTGCCATTCAGAGGGACCTCGGCAGGCTGGAACAACGGGGTGACGGGAGCTTCATGCAAGACTTTGTTGAACTTCATCTGGGATGGGACAAGCGAGTGATACAGGCTGTCTGGAAGGCAGCTTTGCAAGAAAGGAGCTGGGGGTTCTGGTGAACCGCGAACTAGACGTGAGCCAGCAGTGCACGCTTGTGACAATGAAGGCCAGCGTATCAAGCGTTATTAGCAAGAGCGTAGGCAGCAGGTTGAGGAAAGGTTAATTGTCACTCGATTTGGCCCTTGTGAGACCCCATCTGGATGTTGGGTCCAGTTTAGGCCTACCAGAGGCAGACGTTAACATACTGGAGCGAGTCTAGCGAAGGCTGCCAAGACAGTCGGTGGCCTGAAGCACAGGACGCGTGAGGAGAGGCTGAGAAAGCTGGGCTTGTTCAATCTGGAAGGGAGAACATGGAGAGGGGATCTAATTGCTGTCTTCAACTGGCCAACGGGAGGTACAGAGAAGACAGAGCTATGTTCTTCCCAGAGGTGCACAGTGTCGGGTCAGGAGGCATCAGACACAAACTGGAACAGGAGAAATTCCGATTAAATAACAGGAAAGCTGTTTTCACTTGAGGGCGGTCAAACACCAGAACAGGGGCCCAGAGAGGGGCAGACTCTCCATCCTTGGAGATATTTAAAATTCACCTGGACAAGGCCCTGAGCAACCTGATCTAAGTTGGCCCTGCTTTGAGCAGGGAGCTCTACCAGAGACCTCCAGTGGCCCCTTCCTCCCTAAGTTACTCTGTGGTTCGATGTTCATTCTGCAGAGTTTATCTACTGTTACGCACATCTCTTAGACAAAGGAGGGTATCTAGTGATGTCACCTTTTGCTGAAAATACTACCTCCTGGCATGGTTTTTGTTTATACGTTCATTGTAGTTGGTGGTGTTCACTGAAGTCTGCGTTGTTTTCTGTAACTGTGTATGTAGAAGGGCAATGTCTTTTTCACAGATCATGAGAAGTGCTTAGGGAACATTAGATGAACCAAGGATGAAACTAGATCTTAATAGGTGTAGGAATTATGGTACTTCTTATGAGAAATTATCTTAGCTATCTTTATAGAATTAAAGACAACAAGGACGTGATACCTCTCATGCTAGCAATGCATAATAATTTGTGGTGCTCTTTTATAAAATGAACAGAAAGTATGTTTTACGTGTGAGCAGGTTGATTGTTCAAAACGAGCTAAACAAAATGAAGCTGAAAGTAAAGTGCTTGGAGGGAACTTGATATACCTACTCGTCTGAGCTCCTCTGCAGATTACTGGCCAACTCACTTGAGACGGTTACTGATAGTACTGCTTTACAAAGGTGATCCTCTTCTGTTATATCAAATAATTTGTATGGCAGACAGTGCCAAGGCCTGCGTTCATTTTATAAGAGCCACGTGATCTTGAATTGGTTCAAGTTTTGGAATCAAACTTCAGGGAAATTTGATCGGAAATGGGAGATAAGCATGTGGATCAAGTTCTTGAGTTATGCTCCAAGATACAGCTCCTGCCAGAGGAAAGGTAGTGGTGGTGAGGAACACATCTGGATGGATGGGAGGTCCCAGTGTTCCAGGTTCCAGGTGCTTTGTCTCTGGAATGGAAAGAGTAGTGATGGTTCCTGGTTTATCTCCAATCCTTACGTGTTGCATTGACTGCTGATCCCAGGCCTCAAAGATTCAAGAGGTCGGGTCTCCCATATGGGGGCAAATTCCAAAGGAGAAGATGACATGCATGATCTCTTCAGCTGATTATGATGAACTGGAGGCATCACTAGTGGCTAATTCACCAAGGCGAGAATTGAAAAGGGTTTGCGGTAAGATTTTGGAAACTGAGGATTCTCTGCACAGGTATTTAGCCTTGCTTTTGAGGAACACTGAAATTCTAGGTGTCTTCCAGTCAGCCTTACTTCCAGCACTGCTTGGACTCTACATGTGATCTTAGTAACCGAAATAAATGGGAAAGGAGATTTCTCACTCCGCCGAGCCTTGACTGAATGAAGGGCTCTTCAGTAAATCTCCGTATGCCTGGCAAACTAGATTCAAATATACTGGTTACCTAACCGAAAGTTTGGAGGACGCGTTGGGAAGACATGGAGACAGTTATTGTCATTGACTCTAATTTATTCTGTGTTCACTTGTGTTCACATACACACCCATACCCGATACCCTTATGTCACCTTAAACAAGAAGCAACTGGATTCTGTGAGACTGTATGTTTGCTATCCCCTTTAGGCGCCTTACTAAAAAGAGAAGTGGAGCTATCTTTTTTCTTCTTCCCATTTCTCTTACCAAAAGAGCAGTAGGAAGGGGAGCTTAAAGGAGATCCAGAAAGGCAAAAGATGAAGTATATCTCCGAGAGTTTGTTATTTATAGTAGAAAAGAGAAAAATCCAAGGGCTGCCATGAACTGTCTGTAGAATTACAGGGATGTTGGCCTCAAGGAACCGCCAAAGGTCGTCTAGTCCATCCTCCCATGCAAAGCAGGACCACTGCCAGCGCTAGATCAGTTGAGCCATGGTTCTGTTTAGCTGATTTTTGAAATTCTCCAAGGATGGAGATCTACCACCTCTCTGGGCAACCTGTTCCAGTGTTGCGCTACCCTCCTAATGAAGAAGTTTCTCCTAATATCCAGTCTGAGGCTCCCAAACAGCAACTTGTGGCCATTGCTCTTATCATCTGCCACTACAGAGGAGAGGTTGTCTCCATTATCTCTGTAATTTCCTTCAAGTAGGTATAGGTTGCAATTGGATCCCCCCCTTTGCCTCCTTTTCATCAGACTAAAAAAGCCTGGCTCCCCCAATCTCTCCTTGTAGGACATGTGCTCTAGGCCCCTAGCCATATTGGTTACCCTCCATAGGGTCGTCTCTGGTTTCTCAGTGACCCTCTTGAACTGGAGACCCCAAAACTGGACAGTGCCCAAAACTACTTGCAGTGCTGCACCCAGAATAGGTAGGGGTGATAACTTCCCTTGATCTGTTGGCCATGCTTCTTCTAATGTAGCCAGGATGTGCTTTGCCTAATTTGTGGTGAGAGCACGTGTATTGGTTCATACTCAGCCTGGCATCCCTCGTGACATCCAGATCTTTTCAGCAGGGCTGCTGTTCGACCCCTCCGTTCCCGGTTTGCGGAGATTTGTCATTTTGCTGAGAAAATTCTGTGAAGTTAGTTTGGGGTGGTTTTTTCATCACCAATACTGCAGTTTTTCACTGGCATCTGAAACTCAAGTTTCTGGGACTATTTGTTCTACTACTGAGGCAACAGGTTCATTCATACGTAGCAAACAATATCCAGTTTGCGCAAAGTTGACTGTATAGAGGTAGAGTAAGTTAAAACAGTGACATGAGCAAGCACTTGTGTCAGCAGCATAAGAAGGGAGCGTACAGAAGAAGAGCAAGAGTTTTTGAACGCTTGCTCTTTTGATCGTAAGTGCACTTTCAAAACATGTGGACTCCCATTTTATATGTGAGCACTTCTTCAGTCTTACATGTGCTTAATATGGACTGTCTTCCGAATTTCATAATCTCTTTTTCTGTAAAAATTGAGCAAATACAGGGACGGAATAGCCTCCATAACTGAGTAATAATTGACTAGTAGCCTTTGGCATGTCATTGTTTAAAATGAAATAGGGCCTTTTATCTATCCTGCCTTAAATTTCAGTTCTTAATATTTTGGAAATATATGAATCATTAGTAGGCATTTCTGTTGGCTTAGAGATGTAAAGGCATAACATTCAGGGAAGAGAGACTTAAAAAGGCCTTAAAGGAGCTGCAGCAGGCAAAGCATGAGGAGATGAAAACGTGAGTGAGAACACTGGCAGTGCTTGAGTTACAGTTACGTCTGGTATGTTGTTGAAATGGAGGTAGATGAGAGTGAAGGGAGTCACTGCAAGTAAGAGCCGACCACGAGGAAATGGGGCATTGTAAGTAGAAGGAAGGGTCCTGGTTGAGGATGGAGAGAAATGACTTGGCACGTGCGTATGCACTCGCTGCCCTGAAGAAGCACGTCTGTAGCTAAATTTAGCTGAACCTCTCCAGTTCTAATGCATGCCTGTATTGTTGATGAACAACTCTGTTTTAGAGTCTGAAGTGAGAAGTTATTGGGCCACTTAACTGGTCTGTACCTGGAACACCTCTTTCTCCCTGCCCTCCGTTGCAGATGGCTTGGCTTTAGGGAATGTTGTGTTCTGTCTCTGACCTCCTTTTCTTCCTCCAGCTGCCTCCTACACTGACAGCTCTGATGATGAGACATCCCCCCGAGACAAGCAGCAGAAGAACTCCAAAGGCAGCAGTGATTTCTGTGTGAAAAACATAAAGCAGGCAGAATTTGGGCGCCGAGAGATTGAAATTGCTGAACAAGGTAAATGAGACTTGTTCCTTCAGTTCCGTGTTGTCTTAGACTGTCTTGCTAAGTATGGGGTTCTTCCCTCCCCAAAATCTTCTTCTCCTCTTCTTGTGAGGTTCAGTGTCTTGGTTATCTCTTGACACCATTTGAGAAATAAAACTTCTGTGGGATTATGTGGGAACGTGGCGACAGGCAACTTTGTTATAGCATGATTATCTCCAAAAATTTGTAACAAAGGCAATCCAGCGATTAGACCGCTGGAGGGATATTGGAGAGGCCAATCAGAACAGCGAGTCCAAAGTCCTGCTCAGTCTGAAGCAGATTTTCCACCAGCCTCCCTCTGCTGCAGTCGCAGGTAGAAATGTGAAAATGTCATTATACTACATCGTAAACAGTAGGAAGAAACCCAGAGGGTTACTGGATTCTTTTCAGCCTGTGTCAGCCTGATTTGTTGTTTGATGCCTGCTCTCTCAAGGCTTTTGCTTTCTTTTGAAGCTGCCACAGCTGTACAAATTCAGGACAGTATCAGATAGCAGAGCAATAAGTGGTGCTGGCTGGCTGTTTCTTATGTGCTTATCCTTCTTAACAATGTATTGATGGACTTCTTTTTCTTTCTCCTTTCAGAAATGCCTGCACTTATGGCTTTAAGGAAGAGAGCTCAGGGAGAGAAGCCACTGGCTGGGGCCAAGATCGTGGGCTGCACACACATTACAGCACAGACAGCGGTAAGGTCCCCATCAATAAAATCCAGTCTTTCTTCTTTGCAGTTGACATATCAGTGTGTGGCCTTTAACTACAAAATGCTGTGACCGGCTGTTGGTACACATAACATGCGCTCATGGAATAAACAGCTCGCTGAGACGTGTGCTTGTTTTATACGCTATCACATTTAAAGAAAGATACGCATTCTCAGAGTTTGGGTCATTTCAAGGAGTGCTGTGAGACTTTGCAGCCCAATACTCACTTGCATCTCACCCGCACTGCTTACGTCGATAACGTTACATACTGCAGACTGCTCAGGTACCACTATTAAGCAAGTTGGCAGGAGCAAAGTCTGTTCTTGGGCAAAGCTTCTTAATAATGCAGTAAAGCATTGGCACAACTTGACGATTTCAGCAGAGAGGCTAAAGAATACTTGTGCACTGAAGACTGATCCTCACTCTGCTTTGTTCGAGGCCAAGAATATACTGTATTAGCAGGATAAGAGACAGGAATTTTTCATTGTCTATCATCTAAAGTGTACAGGGAAAGGATAAAATAGATCTGTGGTCTCTGAGTCAGCAGTCCTGCACCTTACAGCAAGTATACTTTGTAAAGAGAACAGTCGATTTTGTGAACGTTTCTTGATATACAGAGCCTGTGCTTAAAGGTGATGTAGTGCATGTGTATAAGGCATTCCTATGAGTAACGATGACTAAGAAAATCAAATTACCTTTATATAAGCAGGAGGAAGTGATGGCTAGTAACCAGTATAGTTATGGAATTCACAACTTGCAGATTCTCCTCCAAACATGGGGCAAGCTGCTTTCTCTTGACTAGATGTAGGACTTTGCTGTGAAGGGACTTTGAACGAAATCTGGAATGTGCTCTGAAGTTCTTATTTGCTTCATTCGTTTTGAATGGATAAACAAAAAAATTACAAGATTTGGTTTTGTGTTTTGTGACTCTCTAACCAACCTGGTGCGGCTTAAAACAACTTCGGATACCCTTCTGAAAATAAAAATCACAGAATCACAGAATGGTTGAGGTTGGAAGGTGCCTTTAGAGATCATCGAGTCCAACCCCCCTGCTCAAGCAGGGTCACCTCGACCACGTTGCACAGGACCCTCTCCAGACAGCTTTTGAATATCTCCAAGGAAGGAGACTCCACAACCTCTCTGGGCAACCTGTTCCAGTGCTCAGACACTCTCACAGCAAAGAAGTTTCTCCTCATGTTCAGTCAGAACTTCCTGTGTTTCAGTTTGTGCCCGTTACCTCTCGTCCTGTCGCTGGGCACCACGGAGAAGAGTCTGGCCCCATCCTCTTGACACCCTCCCTCTTCAGATATTTAAATGCGTTGGTGAGATCCCCCCTGAGCCTTCTCTTCTCCAGGCTGAACAGGCCCAGCTCCCTCAGCCTTTCCTCACAGGAGAGGTGCTCCCGTCCCTTCATCATCTAGGTGACCCTTCACTGGACTCACTCCAGGAGCTCCATGTCTCTCTTGTACTGGAGAGGCCGGACCTGGACCCAACACTCCAGGTGAGGCCTCACCAGTAGAGGGGGAGGATCACCTCCCTCGACCTGCGGGCACCGCTCTGCCTAATACAACCCAGGATCCCATTGGCCTTCTTGGCCACAAGGGCGCATTGCTGCCTCATGGTCAACTTGTCCAGCAGGACTCCCAGGTCCTTCTCTGCAGAGCTGCTTTCCAGCAGGTCAGCTCCCAGCCTATCCTGGTGCCTGGGGTCATTCCTCCCCAGGGGCAGGAGCCTGCGCTTGCCTTTGATGAACTTCAGGAGGTTCCTCTCTGCCCATTTCTCCAGCCTGTCCAGGTCTCTCTGCATGGCAGCACAACCGTCTGGTATATCCACCACTCCTCTGTTTTGTATTGTCTGCATGTATCATCAGCACATCACAGTTACATATTCTGCCGTAATGAGAAGAAGTTGACCCTTTGACTTTGTGCGAGATTAAATTATCTTTAGCGTGATCCATGCAACCGGAGCCTTGCTCTTTCTGCTTTTTCAATCCAGGTACTAATGGAGACTCTGGGTGCATTGGGTGCGCAGTGCCGATGGGCTGCTTGCAACATCTATTCCACTCTTAATGAAGTGGCTGCTGCCCTGGCTGAGAGTGGTAGGAAACTTCATCCTCTTTATTCTTTCTGCTTTTAAAAATATTTCTTATTGTCCTGTCGTATTTAGCTCATTTATATTCTCTAATAGTTTTTTCCTCCTATCAATTGTTTTCGCTTTCATTTAGAATAGATCTGTGGGAGACTGAAATCTCTGCGCTGTGTTTCTTTCCATTTGTGAGCGCACATGTTGAGTGTGCTTCCTGGTAAACGTGGGGCTGAATTGCACGCATCAGCTTGTAATGTTTCAACAGAAGACGTGTTGCATACTTTTCTGTCTTCTGCGATTACTGATGAATATTGACAACTTGAATTAGTTTGAGGGAGTGGGAATCTTGTAGATCTGAGGAAGGAAAGAATGTATCAAACTGCAGACCAAAACAATCTTAACAGGAAATGTCGCTTGGTTTATAAGTAGAGGTTAGCTTTTTCTTATTCTATAGCCAAAGCAGTGAAAGGGACTGAACAACACAAGATCAATGTCTTCCATTGGTTTGAAAATATCATCCAGAATTATTTTTTTCTGGAGTATAAATGTATATAGCACAGATGATGATGGTGCACATTACTAGCCATTAGAGCTATGTGAACATAAAAATATTTTTCTAAGAGAAAATAAGCTAAAATTTGGTTTTAGTTCTATGAAGATAGAGAGTTCTTAAATTTGAATCCTAGCTTTGGCTAAAGGGGGATGAAAGAGGGAACTTCTTTTGGACGTAGTTCACAAAACAGGAGAAGTTGTTGCTCACCTGGGAGACTGGCTGCCTTAATTCAAATCCTCTTTTATCTGGTTAAGGCCAAGGATTTTACTTTGAAAGCTGGGAGACCCAGCGGAAGCCAAAATCACCAGTTTGTCTGTTATCTAGTCTTCCTGTCCTGTATGCTGAAGCTGTCCTGCTTTCTGTAATGTACCTGAATGATAATAATTGATCATGAGTCAGAATATGCTGGAGTAAATGTGTGGCTTATGTGTTCCGCAGGGAGGTAGGTCGTCTAACTCACAGAAAAAGCTTTATCTTACAAATAAATCTTTGTTACTAAGCAACATTGAGAGCGTGTTACCCTCCGTGACCTCTTGTCTGGCAGTTAGAGCATTTTCTTGGGAGAAAGGAAGAAATTAGGAAGGAAGTTACTGTCTCGGTAAATGAGCAGCATCTTCTGCTACCTCTAGTAATTACTAATAAACTGAGATTCTTCCTTATGTCATGGTTGCTCTGGGTCTTCATCCTAACTGTGTTAGCACTCATCTCCCTCTCTGTGTCAGGGTTCCCGGTCTTTGCCTGGAAGGGAGAGTCCGAAGATGACTTCTGGTGGTGTATTGATCGCTGTGTCAACGTTGAGGGATGGCAACCCAACATGGTGAGATGTGATTGAATCTAAAATGTTGAAGCATACACAGCTCTGTTCCGGAGAGCGGGGAAAGGTTTCACGAGAGGGTTGGGTGCTAGTCTGTATTTTCTTCTTGCATTTGGAACTAACTTCAACAACGATTAATGTCTGGCACTGGCACAGCACTTACCTTCAAAGCGCTTCATGATAAAATGATCCACATAATGTGGGAAATTGCCTACCCAGTGAAGTTCCATTTAATATTTTCTAAACAAGCATGGTTACATTGGTGCAAAGTTTAGAGGGCAATTAGTTTGCTTTCAGAGTAGCTTGCTTCAGTTTAAATTAAGCCTGTTCTCCACTCATTTAATCTAACTGTTAAAAAAAAAAAAACACTCAGAGTATGTTCTAAAAAGGGCTTACATCGGTTTTACCATGACAGCTTAGATTCACAGCTTTGGTCAGGTTGATTTGACTTTCTTACCTAGGCAAGGCATCCATTTCAGAACCAGAATCAGAACCTAGGTTTACTTCTGTGCTTAAGTCTGTTTTTACTGTACTAATGCAAAACACTGAGAAGCACAGCTCCTGGCTTTATTGGTTTATTTTGCCCTTGTTTCTAGGGAAAATAGACAACGTGGAATTAGATGAGTGAAATAATTTGCAGTTGTCAAACGTTCTGTTTTCATCATGCTTCCTGTCAGGTTTTGAGCCTTGAAGCTTGTGATCTAAATTAGACAAAAAGTAATTAAAGATGGAAGATGGGCAGGTACCCGTATCGTTTACTAGCATTGACTCGTTTGAACTGGATTCTTTGTCCCTTCCAGTCTGCACCTATTCACTTCCTGTCTGTCACCTTTAAAAAGAGATGCGAACGTCAAAAAATCCACCCTTAGCCTACGAACCTGAATCTAGACAGGATAGTCTTGTTTTCTTTTTTCTTTTTTTTTTTAGGAATAATTTCCCATCAAAGATGTCAGTAATTGAAGAAATAAATGTCTCAAATACCAGAATCCCTTGTGCATGTAACACCGTTTGTTTTCCTAGAATCTCCTCAGGCCTCTGGGTTCTGTGACGCGTCTGTAGTCATCAGTATATTTTCAGGCTTGTTTCTGAGCACAGAAACAATTGTTGAGGGGCAACAAATGTATCTGATCCAACAGTTCTCAAATTTATGTACACCTGATTTTGGAGGTCTACATTTTTAGCAACAAAAGGCAGGAGACTGCACACTGAGTGGAGAACAGGTTGCGGAGATAAGCTATTTCAGAAGAAAGGAACTGGCAAACTTGGCCAAAAAAGCAAGGCAGCACTTGCCTCTCTAGGCCTTCCAGTGTTAGGGCTGAAGCTGGATGGACTTACTTACTCTACTCTACGTGCTAATGGCAGCTTTTTAGATCATGCAGTGTATTCTTCTGCTCTGTACGTGAGATGGAGAATTTCCCTGGCATCCCGAGTCAAAGAGGTGTGTGTTCCGACGTTGTAGGACTGAGCCTGAGCTGCTGGTTTCTAATCTACTGCTACTGGCAACCTGTGACCTTTGCAGGCATCTAACCTCTCTTTATCTTGTCGTCCCATTAGTAAAATACCAACGATACCTTTCAGCGTCGTTGAGGATTGTTAGTGGTCATACAGAGCTTTGAAGATGAGCATGTTATATGTGGTACTTCATGCCACAAAGCGATGAAATGGGAAATTCTCTTCTAAAAGAGTGATTTTGTAGGATATGTCTCTCACTCCAACAAGAAATAATAACATTGGACTTTTTTATAAAATGTGGAGTAATTCTGAGCATGAGTATCCAGCTCGTACTCGTTGATCCAAGATGAAAAAAGTAGCATGGCAGGACATATCCATTTATAGACTAATTCTTTAAGCTTGATAGCCATACTCAGGAGAGAGAAGTACAGTCTCTATTTCTGTTTTGCAGATGGCAAAATGGGACGAAGTGGTTTAGCAGCTTGTGTAAGCCACACCGATTTAATATTAGGGTTTGAAATAGACCCCGAGAGTCCTGTTTGCCATTGCTTCACTGGACCTCACCACTCCTGTGTCCTGATAGGCATTGCAAGGCCTCCTGGGGCTGACTTTGTATGTCACGTGCAAGGGATGTCACATAGGGATGTCTCATAGTCTGCCTGTGTCGTCACAGGAAACACAATTTCTTCAAAGTGGAGAATTGCAGGGAGGCAGATAGGCTCCTAAACAATATTGGGGAAGTGCAAAAGAGGAGCCTCTGGCAAGGATGTTTGTCAAAGATTTCAGTTCTGCCTTCTTTCCTTGGACTTGAAATGGCCTTTGCCGCCTCTGTGCCCGCTGCGGCTGTTGGCTTCCAAGGTGGTGTGTTATGAGTAGGGTTTAATACGGAATGAATGATCAGACTTGTGATGAAAAAAATGTTTCTGTAGGTTATAACAGCAGCTGGAGGATTTTCCCTTCCAGATTACGCATCAGTAGACCTGTTCTTCCCCTTTTGAGCATCTCAGCCTGATCACATAGTTCAAACCAAGCTGAGCCGGAGGGCACCCTTTGAAAACCTTAGCATCCAATGTTTGGGCTTCTGTATGTTTGGGCTTCTGTATGGAGCTAGTCCCTGAGAAGAGTTAAGCCTGAATGACTGAAAGTCTCCACAGAAAAGGCCCATTGGGTTTTCTAAGGAAAATAATAGACCTTCAGAGGAGTGTGCCATCTGGATAGGCATGGCTCAGAGGTTCGTTCTGAAAAGTACCAAGGTCTATAGAGCTGAGGGTATTTCCTCTGCAGCATGAACTGATCTAAGACCACGCTGCCACTGGGGGATTTCTTGCCTTGGTTCCCTGTCTCTGACCATGCATTCCTGTTCTGCCCCTGCGTTTTCACTGGTAATTTTAAGATCATGTAGTGAGTTGTTTTCAACCATGTTATTGAGCTGATCCAAGCTAGTTTTAATCAGCTTGTGTTTGGCGAGATCAGCCAGGCAGTATCTACTGCTGCCACCGCAGACTCGGGGGACGGGGTGAGACTTTCAGTGGCAGCAGGGTTTTCGATTGGTTTAGGAGACTGTAAAATGGCACCCTGAGACAACAAATTTTTTTCTGGTGAGCCAAAGATTTTCTGCTGGAGGAGACATGAAGTGACAATACTCAGGGAACGAATAGTAAGAGCCCTTCTTTGCTGAAAGCAAAGAAACAGCAGCAAAGAGGAAATGAATGTACCAAATTGGTCAATGTGGAGATTTGGGAACTATTTCTTAGAAGAAATATGTCTTTTTGTGCCAATCTGTCAAACCTTTCACTGCTGACAGCCCATCATAAAAATTCAGAGAGAGTATTGCTGCAGAGGAGCTGGACTAGCTATCTCCTAGTGTTCGGGTCAGAAGAACAGTCCTGTCTCCAAACAGATAAATGTCCCTGCAGGGCAGTGGGTGATATAAAGAAGCAGTGATATTTTTACTGGCACAGCCAGCCCAGAGCTCTCTGATCCAATACGAAAGCCCTGAAATCAGGAGGGACGTTGATAAACTGTAGCTGTAAGTGTTGGTTTGCAGATTTGTTCCTCTCTGTTGGTGTCAGACAGGCACAGCATAGAAATGCAGAGCACGGCTCGCATCTATAAAGCCTGATTTGCTGTAAGGAAATTCTTCAGCCATCAAACAAATAAAGACTCTTTTCCAGAAAAAGGTGCCTGGGAAGAATTTGAATGAAAGCGATAACCTGCATGAAGCAGATATGAGAAAACTGCAGGAATACCTACGTGGGGTAGATACCCCACTGTTTTTGCTGTTGGCCATTTTATACCTATGTTGCTAAAAAAGGTGACCTTCCTTCAAAAATGGGTTCCTCTATTAAAATGTTTTTTTTCATCTTCTACCCTCCAAGGAAAGAAGAAACTGCCACAATCCAGAATTCTCTCTATGCATTTCAGAAAGAGGATTATGTGCCCTATTAAATGGGGATTAATGAAATGAAGACATTCTGGGAGCCAGGCTGCTGAATTCTTTCCCCAGCATGGCCCGGGAGAGCTTGTCAGCCAGCTTAACCCTTAGCTGCCTCAGTTTCCTAGCCTTTAAATGGGAGATAATCTGGGAATTCCCTGAAAATTCAAGGGAATTCAGGCTGCATGTTAAACGTGTGCACTGCACTAGCGGGGCGCTGGGTGTTTTCCAAACGTTTGTGAAGGAACAGCTACTACTCACAGGAGTGAGACTCTGAGGAAAGACCAGCTATTTTGTGAAAGAGAAAAAGGTTCCAATAATACTTAGCATTTCTCATTTCCAAATAACTTTTTGAAGACAGATGTCAGAATTCTGGCTCGGTGCAGCCAGTGCGTCGGGTCTTGGCAAGGTCAGCTCAGGAACGGCATCTTTGCAAAGTGCATCTGGGCGAGCATCTGCGACCGGCATGGGACTTCTGTCTAGAAAGCATGGGGGAACGGTTGAATTTTTCTGTGCAGCTGCAGATGCTGGCGTGTCCGAGCAGGGCTGCTTCGGGAGAGCTGCTGTTGCATGCCGGCAGAGGGCACCTGCAGGACTCTGCTGCGAGCTGAGGAGCGCTGACTGCTGGAGTCTTCTGCCTAGATTTGATATTTGCCTTTTAAAACACCTGCGCACCACGCTAGTAGGTTAACCAGGGCTGGTTTGGCGGTCAGCAACCCTTTGACATTGGTATAGGCAACTTGCAGAGGGAATAATAATTACAGTAATGTCCCCTCTGGGGCAATATGCTCTCAGCTAGTCCAGCTTTCACTTCATCTGCCGTTCAGTGAAATCCACTCCCTGTTTCTTCTTGAGCCTGGGCCTGATCGAGGTCGTCAGCACTCCCGCCATGCTTGGGCACTGTTTGGGATGTTGTGGGCCACCTGAGGCTGGCCAAGGCAGCAGGAGGGCTCAGGGAGGTGCACAGTTTGTTTCTTGTGCCTTTTCCCAGATACCTTTTTTTGATATCCCAGTGGGAAGATGAATAGGAGGAACATTACGAAACTGTGCAATCTAAGCTAGGCATAAGAGCCTTTGGGTGCTGTACTGCAGCTCTGGAGTACAGTCTGCGTTGAACGTTGCCCCACAGGTCTTGTGGGTCTTGTGACTCAAGGAAAAAACATCGTGGAAGGACCGTGCTGAGTCCTGGTTCCCGGAGGAATGTCCACTCCTTGGAGCGGCTAGAGCTTAGCATCTCCTTTGGGATGGGCTCTATACTGAGACCTAGCAGGGGGTGACCAGAAGTGGCCTGGGCTGGGGCTATGTTCATTAGGAGAAAGAAGTGTAGGGCACAAAGGACAAGGTTGTCCTGACAAACTCCGCTGGCTGTCACTAGTGGTGAGATTTTTCCCTAATTATTGGAGGTTCTGTAGTTGCTAGGCGGAGGTGGAGGGAAAAAAGCGTTGACTTAAAACCACTGATTATTCTGGAGACGCTTACATGCGACAAAAATGCGTGAATAATAGTGACCTGTGCAAAGGGATATCTGGATGTACACGTTAACTTTTTAGCTGTGTTACGATTTTAATGTGAACGCCAAAGCCATTTGTAGACGTATTTCAATGCGCCATATTACACTGGATGATTATAACACCAGCAGAGAATAGAGATCTCGCTCTTGGAGAGCCCTTTTCACCAGTAGTTTTTATGTTTCTGTGAGTGAACTGTTTTCATGTCTGTCCTATACGAGACACTATTTCAGAGGGCACCTTTACTTGCTCATCTTTAATGTTTTTATTAAAGCAGTAAGTCTCTGGGTTTCTCTACTGCCTGAAATGTGTCATTAGGAGGAAATGGGTGGCTCGGGAGACTTATGATCTGATAAAGAAGAGTTCTGTACTTCTGAGTTTGCCGTTCAAAGCCAGATTAAATGGGCTGTGACCCAAAGTTTTTGTCTAAAAGATGTCCAGTATTTTTAATACGCAGTGGTTTTTGATGTGCAATTACACTATAATTGGCTTTAGTGCCTCTGCACCCTCCTCCTCCTTCCCTATCCCCCTTCTTCCTTCTTTAGCAGTTGTGTTAGAAACTCTGATGACTATGTATGGTTCAAAGACTTTGCTGTCTGTGCCCCTGGAACATGGGGAGAGAGAAGCTTACACAGCAATTTTCCATGTTTCGTCTGGTCTCGTTATAAACGCGAGGTTCTGCAGTTGTTTGACCTATTGTCTTTCCAGGACAACGCATGCAACGTATAGCCAAAGTAGCACTCCCACTCTGAATAATCAGAGTAGTCTCGCCTAAGCTGTCAGGATGTGGTGTTTGTGCTGCCAAAACATGACCTTGATTAAGAACGGCTTGAATGCATGATTTATCCCCGGTGCCTTTGTGGGGTCAGGTGGCTCACTGGATCCTCCGTGCAGTGACTTTATGGGTTTTTTAATTACAGATCTTGGATGATGGAGGAGATCTCACTCACTGGATTTACAAGAAATACCCCAACATGTTTAAGAAGATCAAGGGGATAGTAGAGGAGAGTGTGACTGGTGTCCACAGGTAACATGGCAAGCTGCACGAGCTGCCTCAGGGCAGTGCCAATGAAAGAACTTCAACCTGTAAAACGCCATAGACTTGGCTGAGTATTACACCTCCTGATATGTGATCCGTGGTTTTCCTTCAGCGTGGGCTTGTCTTTTCAATATGATCGCGCTCTGAATTTGAGACAAGGAGTAGGAACACCTTAATTCTTAGTCTGCGCTCCACTATTGACCAGTGTGGCTGGAAAAGGTGCATAACGTCTGCTTTTCCCATCTGTGAAGTAGGGGCAATAGTTACCCCATTTTAGGGATGAAGAAAGAAAAGGAAGGGATGAGAGTGCTACAGAAGAAGGTACAGGCTTTGGAGAAAGTGAAAACCTACCCCTAAAATAAATATATGTAAAGAAGTGAGATTTTGAAGAGGAAATGATTCTCTTGTTGGGGGAGCCCGGAAAGGGAGAGCCAAATAGATGCAGCCATATACAACCGTCAGTCTGCCTGAATTATGGTAAGAGAAGTGGTGTCCAAGGTTAGAAAAAAAGTTATGAGGAGATCAGACAGTGCTCTTTTAGCAGAGTTTAAAGTATCACAGATGACAGAAAGTAGGGGAATGAGGAGGAGAGCAGTACCCTCTGCTGTTTTCCTTTATTTTTGCCGTGAGAATGGCCTGGCTGCAGCTCTTTGAACTGGCTGAGAATTAGGCTAAGGATGCCTGCAGCCCTGAAAACAGGGAAATGAAATATTGGAAACAAGGAAGTGACTGATTAAGGTTTTCAGCCAGTGGGGTCAAGAAAAGGACCTGACCATATTTTTAGCAACGGGGATTTGGGCAAAAGAGCTATGCAAGAACAAAACCATGTTAAAAGTTGTTCCCTATGTTCTTGTTTCAAGAACAAGGTCGTATTCTGAGGTTAGGGGATGTCGATTTGCACGTGCAGGGAATGCATCCTCCTTATCTGAGGATAAGGCCAGCATTTCCGTTGTTGTATGGGGAAGTCGCTGGTAGATGAATGAGGCAGCAGCTGAAAAAAATGTAGAAACGGGCAACGAATGAGGAAATACTGTCCCGGACTAAGGTGGGGAGCGAGGTTCCCAAAGGGCAAAGTGAGACCAGTGAGAAACCTGGAGGTGGCTTGTAGAGACAGATCAAGTGACGCTTCCCAGGGTATTCGGTCTGGAACAGGGCAGTGATTTTCAGATCCTCTGCATAGCAGTAGTGTAGCATTTACATTCATTCTTTGTGTTTTTGCTGCTGCCAGAAGGAAATGGAGTTCAGTGCGTTCTGAGAACGACGAGTTCAGTTGCGTGTGTTCTCCATCCTGGTCACTCCGTACCTCACGTCTCAGTGACTGCGCTGCTACTGCTGTTCTCGTTGGTGATTTGCTGCAAATACTGATCCTAGCGATTGCACTTTGTTGTGAACGTTCCACTTCTGTGGCCGTTTCTGTTTGTCTCTAAGATACAAGAACTTGAGGAATTATAGGAGCTCTACTGTTATCTGAAGCAAGATTTGGAGGGGTTTTGCCTTTTAGAGGACATCGGAGGATAGTCATAATCTCATTCATGTTATGAAGCACATGGAGTCCAAAGCACGTTCTGATCTCTGCTATTTTATGAAATGCTTCATGCCAACCTACTAGTGACGCAGTTCCTTCAGTAGGGGTGGGAAACGGATATAAATATCTGTGAAAGAAAAGATGCTATTTCTCCTCCTGAAATTAGGACACTGCGCAGTTCCTATTAGGAAGTTATCTTTGGCCCTCGAGATCCATCCCACTCGTTCCAGCCAAAGACCTTTAGAGCATGTGTCACTAGAGTGCAGGGAAATATTTTTTTTCACTGATTCTTCATCTCTTTCTTCCCTTATTCATAATAGGCTGTACCAGTTGTCTAAAGCTGGGAAGCTCTGTGTCCCAGCCATGAATGTCAATGACTCAGTCACAAAGCAGAAGTTTGACAACCTGTACTGCTGCAGAGAATCCATCCTGGATGGGTATGTACCCACTGTCCAAAAAGTTGTCTCTCTCGCTCAGCTTGGGGTCGGGCCAGACCCAGCAGGCTTCCGATGGGAATGGTGAATCTTGGGGGCTTCTTTACAGAACTGGATCCGTTTGTCTGTCTAGCCTGCCATTTGTTGCTGAATAGTTGATGTTTCAGAGGAAGGCAAAGACCCTTTATTACCTGTAGTGTTCATTACGATCCCACTAAGAAAGGCAATCGAACTCCGTAAGATATTGCTTAAAACACCATTTATGGGAGCTAACACAAGAAGGAGAAAGAGGATAGATGATCTTATGTCCCTTCAGGTGCTGGGAACCCCAGGTTGTGCAGGGCCTGCAGTCAGGGCACGGCACATGGGGCAGACCTAGTCCACGGAGAGGTTCCCCAACATTTTGGTCTGTAGGGCTTTTATAGGATTTTCTTAGAAGAAAGCAATTCTGTTCATCATTTCTCCTGTCAAACAAAAGGATGTTCACAGGAGAACTTGTTGCTTCACTTTTCCATAAAGACAAGGCCGTGCCGGTGGTGTGATCACGGATCCCAAGCGGGAGCTGCCGACAGGCTCCTTCATTACAGTTAGCCAGCTGCGCTCACCCTGCGGCCAAGGGATATGTGCAGCGCAGCACAGGCCGAACTGTACATGCGGCATCGCGCAGTGCAGCGCAGGCCTGCGCCTTCTCGGGTTAACTGCTATGTGGATCAGTAGCTCCTCAAGGTACGATAATTACTTCTGGTTACGATCGCTACACCTCTGGTCTGTCATATATTAGGAATTTGTAAGGCATGTTAAGACAGCAGCTATGTCTCTAAGGGTCAGAAAGTCACAAGATTTATTTGTACAATTGTTTATAAAGTGCTAAAAATCATAGGCACACCAGAAAACTAACTTTGTGTTTGAAGAATGTTGTGCTTGCAAGAGAATGCTCTTACAGCAAAGACGTTGGCATCTTTAGAGGTCTGGATTCAGTTTTTTCATCCAGCCACAAGCTACATGTATGAATGAGGCATAAAGTTTTGTCTCTCTTCCTCTTTTTGCAGAAATCAAATCTTCTGTTTTCCCAGAGTATCTGGAAGACACAACATCGAGTATTTTATTAGCCGTAGTGATACAAGGCATTTTTGAAAAGGCTTTCAGGGCTCTCAAAGCAGGCTCACCAAGCTTTTTGCTCTTCAGAGCAACGTTGCCCGTTGGTGTGTCTGTAGGGAGCTTGCATGCATTCTCTCCTCGCAGTAAGCGTGACTTCAAGCCCTGCAGCTTCTTGTAGTCCCCTGTAAGGACTTAAAAAGTAAAGTGGTTGCTGTGCTCCTTCAGTTCCCTCTTACCTGTTGTGGCATCAGGATAAAACCCATCTGTGCCTGGCACGCAGTTGTGTGTATATGAATCAAGCAACTACTTTGTCACAATCTTTTTTGCCTGGTTTCCTTTTTTTATCCCCTTCGGAGAATGTGTAACAAGCCAAAAGAAATGAAACAGAAGAGACTATGGCAGATCCTGAATTCATCCCATAACAGTTGCAAACCCCCATCCTGCTGCCCAAAGTGTAGACTTGAGGCTGAAGATGTAAACCCTGTCCTTCAGCTCAGCATAATAACTGGGCTCAGAAGGTGCATGTTCTGCCTTTGGGCATGTTCATCTGCTTCTCCCCAGCCTGCTCCCTCGGTTCTGCCGTTCAGCTACGGGCAGGCAACGTGTCGTCCACGTGCCGTATGAGCAAGCAAGACGGCGTTTGCTTCTCTCCCTCCTCCCAGCGAAGCAGCAGGAACCGTGGAACTGGTTCAAGCTCGGTAGCTTCCTGACAACACTGTGCTTTTTAGGAGCCGGTAGCAAACGGACTGGTTTCCTCTGTGTGTAATCAGTCTCTGACTGATATGTAGGCACTAAGAACATGATGTATTTTCTAAAACTGCTTGGCTTGAGAGATAGTAAAAAATGCTTTAAATTGTGATCTGGAGAGAGTGTAAATCTCAGTGGTCTTTTTTTTCTCCCCTCTCACTCCCTTTTTTTCTTTTTCTTTCTGTGTAATCGGGTTGCTTTGGCTTTCCAGTCAATTCTCCCGACCCCCCCCAGATTTTTATCAAAGCCAAGTGAGATTAGGCCAAGTCTTACTCTTACGGTTCTAGCTGGTGGACTATTACACATTCCATTTGGTAGCTGGTCCAAGGAGACGATTAATCACAAAATCAAGGACAAATTGATTTTTCAGAACTGGCACAGCTGTACCCCGGATACTGATGAGGTGAATAGCAGAGCTCAGGCTGCCTGCTGTGTGTCCAGGGTAGCTGTGGTACAAAGGAGGAAACCCTCCATGGAGAACACTGCCTACTTCAGGAGAAAAGATTTTTTTCATGTTGATAACTTAGTATGGCTTAATGTTTAAACAAGCCTTGAGGTTTGCAGTTCTAGGTTCCTTGCTGAAGTAGAAATGTAGAGCCTCCTCCTGCTAATCAAAGTCCATCTGGCAGCGCTATTGGTGTTTTGCTGTGTTACTGCTGCCTTCAGTCTGCTTCCATCTGATAGCGTCAGAGTATCTTGGAGACCAAAGTATGCTTCCCTGTTGACTGCAAAGCCTGCTCTAATATCTTTACCAAATCTTTGTGGGGTGTTTCGTGGAATGACTTGTTGATCATCTTAGCTTTAAAGTGGTCTTCCTGGTAGGGGTCATCTTGACCAGAAGTGAATAAGCCTCACATTTGTAATAATTGCTTGTCCCGGTACAGGGACAAGAAGATGATCTGTAAAATGTGTCCAAGCATCATGTAAGTTAATGAACCACCTAATACGCTTCCCCATGATGATCCACTGCAAGCAGTTTCTTTTCCACATTTCAGTCGCATGTTGTTCTAAAGCACTACATTTTGGACTCCTTGTCAAGTCCATCGTGATGGTAGCTGCCTCTTCTACCTGCCAAGATGTTTTATTGCCTAAGCCAGAATATGCCACTGCGAACAGCCGGTGGACTCTTGCCCTTCCTGCCCATCGAAACTTGAAAAGTTTAATCACAATCTTCAGCTGGTCTCCAAAATATGTGCCATTTGCAAAGTTACAACATGGAGCAGCAGTCTCCAAGACGTAAGGCGTCGCTAAGTGGACTTTGCTATATGCAGTAGCTGTCTTAGGAGATCAATACTCTGCATGTCTTCCTTCTCTGGGGGAGGAACCTGCTCTTTGCCTGCTACAGAGCGTCCATGCAGCTGCTTTCATCCACGCATATGTTTTGTTCCTTCTTTACTCTGCCCGTGCCTCAGTGCATGATCACAGGATACTAATTAAAGGCGCACAAGAGAGCCTCTGTCACTGGGGGTTAGCTGCCCAGCGTGCTGCCCTGCTTCCAGCTTTTGAGTGTCTGAGGACATAACGTTTAGCTCCATGCTGTATGTGCAGTGTAGATTCTTTTGGTGGCTACTGATAAGTTAAAATCTTTAAACAATTTTCTTATCAACTTGTCTTCAGCTGTGATGGATGATGAACTTAACGGGTAGGTACACTGGGGTTTGTGTTAGTCTGGCTCAGGCCTCTAAAACTGGGCCAAAGAAAATCTGAGCAAAAGTGCAATTAAATCTGCTGGGATTTTTGTCTACATTCTGTTGAAAATGTAAGGGAATTTCACCTTCCCTGCACTGCTAGCCTATTTACTCGTGTGCTAAAAATAGCCTGTAATGTAGGACACTCTCTCGGAGAAACCAGGAGGAAACAGAGTGAAAGGGAGAGCTTTATTTGTACAAAGCGTTGAGATTCTGGCAATAAATTGCCACTTGTCTGCTCCTTCTGTAGTTGTTTCTGTGAAGTCTTTTGACTTTAGAAAAAAAATAAGAATAATAATATTTTAAAAAGGATTTTTGAAAAGATTTTAAAGATTTCCTGAGTGCCACTGTAACAAAAAAAGAGAAACAAAACCCAAATCCTTCATCTTCCATCCGGCCCTGCATTTCATTGGTAGCACCCGCCATTACCGAAGGAAAAAGCCAGTTCTGAGGGGCCCTTCAGGTCTTCTCTGCGCCCAGAAAAGCTGTGTGTCCTCACAGGGCACCAAATAAACCTAACGCCTGCTTGGATCAATAGGATATGTGTGATGGTGCCTAAGAGGGGCAAACCTGGTTTTTGCTGCTGCCCTTCACACTCTGGTCAGTCAAATAGCTCTTATTGCTGTTCTTTCTCCTTTATGGAAGGTACAGGGATGGGGGGACTTTCTCAACAGCTAAGCCAACAAAACTGGTCTCTCAGGAAGCCTGATTTTATGTCACGAAAGTTCTATCTGTCAAAGATGCTGCTGGTGCTGGAGTTAGCTAGGTTCCATCGCTTCAATTATTTTTTGTTTTCTTTTTTTTCCCTTAGCCTTAAAAGGACAACAGACATGATGTTTGGAGGAAAGCAAGTAGTGGTTTGTGGCTATGGAGAGGTAAGGGTTAACTTGTTCATCACATGGAAAACACTTCCCACATTACATCCAGCAGGTGCTGCATGTAAAATCAGTGCATCCTTTGCATGGCTTTATCCTATGGTGCTTTTCTGTCCTCATGGCTTTTCTCTGCATCTGCAGTTATCTCAATACCTGATGGGAATAGGCCTGGTTTGACAAAACTGAAGATTTTCCTTCTACAGCTTCCAGCATATTAACTTAAGTATTAAACAGATAGTAAATCTGAATCTTAAAAATACATGAGTTTTAAATATTCTGAATATCTTTAATATCTGAATATTAAAATATTCAGAGGCTTGGTTCTGCAGATGTACCTGTGCAGCTATAGCATTGCATGTTGAAAACGTGGTCAAGAAAGATAAGTTAATCTTGACTTACCAATGTGCTTTCACCCCCACCCGGAGGAGTCTTCTCTAGAGGTGAGACTGGGGTGTTCATCCATCCGCAATTCCTGTAGGGACTAGTGAAGACCAGTTACGGTGGGCCATGCTGTGGTACTGTACTGGGACTGTTTTCTGAAGAGCTCAGACTGGACGCTGCTTTTCCCCCGTCACGCTGGCTCATTTCACGTGAGCCACTGAGCAAACATTGGGCAGACGTGGCCAATTGCACATCCCCCCGCGCCTATGGAAAGGCGAAGCGACCGCACAGTATGGGAAACCTTGCTCATTTAGCCGTATCCCTCAATTCCCGTGAGCCGCGCGGCGTGTGTGTAAAGGTTAAAGCTAGTTAACCCTGAGAGATTTAAAAAGTTAAGCTTCCTAAATAGAGGAAAGGTCCTAAGAGACTCTTAAACTTTCTCTGCGATAAACATAATCTCTTGTTATCACTGCGCTTTCTAGATGCCAGGAGGTGCGGGAGGAAAAAGAACTCCCTGTCACTGAAGTGAATGGCACCTTGGTTTTTTTCGGTGCCTCTTCTAGCTCTGATTGGGGCCTGACTCGGGTCCTGGATTACTCTGAACCCAGGGTTTCAAGCAACCAGAAAGTTGGTATGTGGAACCAGAGTTGGTAAGAGCTTGCCAAGCAGGTTGCAAGGGCAGTTGGCTCTATTTTTCAACTGCAGAAAAGAAGCTCGGAGTAGTACAGTCCATATAAGCTTCAAATGGCCCTATCAATGATTACAGCAGCAGGATGGAGTTCTTTTAAAATATGAAGGGAGTGGTTGTGATTTCCTTTTGGAGAAGGGAGATAACACCATAGAGAGCAGAAGGTGGTGGCTCCAACCTATCTGTTCCTGCGTAGGCAGGCGTCGTAGCGCTGCTCTGTCGTGCTGCCCAGCTCTTGGCGTCTCACCTCTTCCTTTGTGCTGTTCTCCCTCCCCAGGTTGGAAAGGGCTGCTGTGCTGCTTTGAAGGCCATGGGCTCCATAGTGTACGTGACAGAGATCGATCCGATCTGTGCCCTGCAGGCCTGGTAAGGAGTAGCACGGAGCCTGGCTTCTTCTGGAGGCTTCTTTCAGGAAAAGCGTGGCCACAAACCTGTCCGCAGCAGTCCCTCTCTAGAGGGTTGCTGATGAGGGATTTGGGGCTTGTCAGCACACTCGGAGGGACCCGCAGCTCTCTCCTACGGCCAGTAAAGGGTTACTGCAGTAGGGATCAGCCAGTTGTCCTGTAACCCACATGCTAGCCTTGCCTAATAATAAACTCTGCTTGGAAGAGTTTAATGTTATGGCTCGGAACGGTATTGGGAGTGAACCGCTAACCTTGGAGAGCAAACTTGGGCCTTACTGCGTTGTGTGCACGTGTCGCTGAAGGACGATTTCAGTTTCTGCAATCACCCGCCCCTCACAAACCTCTCCTCACAAAAGCTGACACAGGGCTGAAAGCACACGGTTGTCCCCTCGCACAGGCACCGTGCAATTATATCCGGCCTCGTTTCCTCCAGGTAAAAGTTGACTTCTTGCAGAGATGCTGCTTATGCTTTAGAACGTGTACGGTGGGATTGTAAATACAAGAGCAGTCATTTTGCAAAGTCCCAGAAATATGTGGAGCCTTATTAAACACACAGCCTTCCTCTCTAACAGCAAGCTTTCAAAGGGCTATTACGGTGCAAAGAGCGTCTAATGACCCCTGCTTAATTAGCAGATCTGATCAACTTTCTGTGCAGCCTGTTTGCTTTGCAGCCTTCACAAGTCTGCAGGAACCCAAGAAATATAAGAAAATGAGCTGGAGTCTGCTATGCCACATCCAGCCACAGAATTTCCAATTTGTTCATTTAGTCTTTTACAGCAACAGCTTATTTGATTCTGCACATGCATTCGCTCTCCTAGGGAGTTTGCACTGAGACAAACTGTAAATGGGACATGCTGAGAAATCCAGCAGGAAGAAAATTACTTTTTTTTTTAGTAACTATGATTTTGCAGCTTGCGAGAATTGCAGAAATAAGTTCTCAGGAGGACTGTCAACAAATCCTAAAAAATGTTGGCCTTGTTATCAGATGTGCTGAGTACACCTTTCTCATTAAAGTCAGTAAAGACTTGCTGAGCGCTCAACACTTCCGAAGATTATGTAGGTGCCTAAATATGGATTTACAAAGTTATGTTAGACTTCTGTGGGTTTTAGTGTTTGGGTTTTTTTTCCAAGATGATCTAAGTCCGTATCAGAAAGGATTCTGCAGCAGGAGAGTATATCTGCATGTTCTGGAAGTACTCTGTAGGAGTAGTAGCTTTAAAAAAGCTCTCTTGCTCGAAAATTGAGATTCTTTGATCCACGGTCCTTGACAGAAAATGTGAAACCCCCAAAATCTCTTTTCCCATGACAGGCCCAAGTCCTGTGAGTTAACAACTCCAAAAGCACTCCTAGTGGCCTGAGATAGTTGTCCCTTAGCATGCTGCATTGCTATTTTGCAGTCTCTGGCACTGAAGAGTTAAGATGAGCATCTGAGAGTCACTTGAGCTTTTTTCTGGTTTTGGCATGTTTTTTGCGGGTTCTCAAACTACATTGTTTTTTCCCCTCTTAGCATGGATGGATTCCGGCTTGTGAAACTCAATGAAGTCATCAGACAAGTTGACATTGTCATCACCTGCACAGGTATGCAGTCCCCAAGGCCAGGGGGCTGGTTGTGAGGGATGTGCGCTTGATAATCAGGTCCATCTTTTTCCAGCGAAAAGCAGCAATGAGGGCATAAAGATGGGGAATATCTAATTGCTTCTCCCACAACTGCAAGTGGTCTGTGCCCAGAGATGCACCAGAGACCTGCTTCTTCTCATGGCAGTCCAGGAACTTACTTGTTCTGTCATTCTTGCTTTGGTTTTTTTTTTTCATGATACAGATAGCTGCACTGAGCTATGGAAAAGGGCCAACTAACAGTCAAAGGCTGCAGGCGAGCACTGAGGGACCACCTCAGATACCCTGGAAGCCAAGGGCAGCGCTGTGCGTCTGGCCTCAGGTTGTTTAGGGAATCAGCTGAGGCAGCAAACTTCTGCACACTGAACACCGCTAAGACTGCCTTGCTCCTGCCACCGGAAGTGCTTCACTTGTTGCAGTAGAAAGAGTCGTTTTGCCGTTCGTATTGATTACCAATGTGCTGTGTTACAGGCAACAAGAATGTGGTGACCAGGGAACATCTGGACCGAATGAAGAACAGCTGCATCGTGTGTAACATGGGGCATTCCAACACCGAGATCGACGTGGTGAGCGCTGGCGGGGCCACTCGTGCGAGGGGGCAGGGAACAGCGCAGGGTGGCCACTGCTCGAGGGTGACCGTGGTTTCAGGACCCTTCAGGAGCAGTGTCTGACCCGCTACCACGTCCTCTGGCAAGCTCCTGTGAGGAGTTAAAATAATCCACTGCTCCCCACGTCCCAACTGACACCATCAGACGTGTCATCGTCCTTCCTGTGATCTCAAAGGATACTAGTGAGCCAGACATAAACTACCTCAGCTTCCAGCTTAGTGCCTGGCGTACGCTAGCCTTGTGCCTTCCCTTAGAGAGTCAATGACTCACCTTATCTAGCTTAGTGCCTCTGCTTTTGTATTCTTTCGTCGTGAAGATCCAGCCAAGTGTTCGACGTTGTGCAGCACAGCGTGCTCACCCCCATCTGCGTGACTGAACAGGACTGACATCTGCTCATCTGTGTTAAGAGAGAAGCAGAAAAATACGAGAATCTTGTCTGAACGCCAGTAGAGAATTGCTCTGCCAGAACCACACATTTAAAGCCACTTTCTCTGTGCCTTGCTGTCAAGCCCACCTTGCTGGGAAGAAGTGACCACAGCAATGCACGGTGTAGTTGGCTTTTCAGCCTGGCTTTCAGTCAAAAGACCTTGAACAATAATTGTTGCTAGAGCTTTGATGTATTTGAAATCATAAAAATAGTTCTTAGGTTATGATTCATAAAGGTTTCATTGGTCTGGGACTGAGACTGGGTCCAAAGGAAACTATAAGTCCAGAGCAGTGTCAGTGAGGGCCCGAGTTGCTTCCTTTTTTCTTCCTATTATGTAGCTTCTCTTTTCTGAGGTTTTGCCAGTGCTTTAACTATTTTAATGCCATGTTTCAGGCAAGCTTGCGTACACCTGAGCTGACTTGGGAGAGGGTGAGATCTCAGGTAGACCATGTCATCTGGCCAGATGGGAAGAGAATAGTCCTGCTGGCTGAGGTGAGTAGCATACAGAGAAGGAGCAGGACTAGCAATCTGTTCTCTGCTTCTGGAGAAAGAAAGCAAGGGTTGAACGAGCAGCGGTGCCAAAGCGCTTCCTGAAATCACCTCCTGGGCCTCAGCAGCTCAACAGTCCCTCTGATTGAAAGCACTTTTTTAACCCTGTTTTGGCCAAAGGGTTACACAACACAGAAAAGCTCCTATGTTTTTCTTTATCCATCCCCAGCAGCATCCCACCACAGGGTATTTAATCAGATTTTCACTTCTAAATCATTTTATTGAGCTGTAACAGGAACCGATGCCTTGGGATTCAAAAGCATGTGATTTTTCTAGGGCTACAGCCCAATCCAAAGCACCTGGCTGCTGCCAAACTTTTGTTGTGGCTTTGAAGGACACAAGTGGCTGTGTTCCCCAGCATGTCTTTCTGTGAGCCCCATCTAGTCATGCTGTGGCCCCTGAGAGTTCTCAGACTAAGCTGGGACCAGCTGCCTAATACGGCAAGAAAAGTTCTCAGGCAGCCTCCCTGTGCGAAGTAGCAATCTCTGGTAAGAGAGCAGCGTCCTAGCTGTGGTCTGGTTCAGTTTAACCGCTGGTTACTTCCTTTAACCTTTCCCTGTGCCAGTAGAATCCCTTGGAAATGGGACCGTTCACTTCAGTCTGAGCAGTGACACAGCAATGTTGCGTTTCATCCCAGAAGGGACGCATTTCACTGGTGGTTCAAATGAGTTCCTGTGCCTTCTCTGCAGTCTGTAGACTATTTTTGATGCCGTGTTGAGATAACAGTCGTTTTTTTGCCTCCCCAGGGCCGCTTGCTGAACCTGAGTTGTTCCACCGTCCCCACCTTTGTATTGTCCATCACTGCAACCACTCAGGTGAGTAAGGTTCAGGGCGAGCAGAAGGCAGTGTCTCACTCCATAGCGTATGGGCGTTACTTATCTAATTGTCTTCTTCCAGGCTCTGGCTTTGATAGAGCTGTACAATGCTCCAGAAGGCCGCTACAAGCAAGATGTGTATTTGCTGCCTAAGAAAATGGGTAAAGGTGTACTTGTTGCCTTCTCGTTTCTTTAACCGAGATGGAACAGATGGGAGATTGTGCCAGGCTGGGCTGAGGATGGCAGGGTGTTGCAGTCTCCGGAGCGTTCTTGTTTACCTCCCTGCCAAGCTCCGGGTCTTTCAGCAGGTTTCTCCCACTGTGCCTGTGCCCTTCGCTAAATTGCATGTGTTGCTTCCCTGCCCCACCTGGGGAAGACACACTGATGCTCTTTGCAGCAGTACATCCGGGGTGATTCAGGAGAGTTTTGCGTGCAGGGCTTCTGCTGGTAGAGCTGCGTTAGTTGGCTGCGAAGAAACGTAGCCCCTGACCAGCAGCTCTGCCAGCAGAATCCCCTCATGAAGACGCAGCTATACAGGCCACCAGGGGCTTTTGCTCTACAGCTTGTCTTTTTTTGCATTAATTGTGTTTTGCTAGACTAGATGCAGCTTTGTCCCTAGCTTGTGTGTGTGTGTGTGTGTTAGATACCGTCGACCAGAACTGTGCAGTGTTTTCCTGTATCAGAGCATCCCAAGTGGAGCGTCAGTCTGTCACATGCACCCTCGTCGTGGTGGAGTGACTAGAGAACTGCAGCTCCGGTTTTAAAACCTAACTGCGTCCTTACGGCAGTGTGTCCACCGTTTGCTCAGAGGGAAAACATAGAGCTGGTTTCGGACACTTCTCCCGGCCAAGATTTGAATGTTGGCTGCCACCTAAAATGTTTTTAAATACCGCTCAGTGTGGTGCAGGTGTACAATTAACCTCAACAGAAAACGTGCAGCCTCTTAGTCTCTTACTAACGCAAGCGAGAGGTGTTTATAAGACACTGAGCGCTTCCAAATATTAATGGACTCCCTTGGCACTGTGAAGGTCAAGGGAAGTATAGCTTTTATCTTAGATGCAGAGAAATGGAGTCCGAGAGCTAAGCAGCTTGCCCAGAGACACTGCATAATGCAGCAGCAGACTCCAGGCGTCCTGCTAGCTCCTCCCCAGCTGCTAGCAACAAACACCTTCTGTGAGCTGGGACAGTTCGTAGGAGTTACTGCTTTATACTGGTGTTTTGGCTGGGCTGGGAGAGCGTAGTACTTCTCACCGCTTTGTAAGATCAGTATTGTTTCAGAGGAGGGCTGTTGTTCACTGGGTTGCTCTGTCTATCTCAGAATCCGTAGACTTGAACCCCTTGATTTTCTCCATGAAGGGTGAAAAGCAGTCCTGCAGTTTTACAGGACAGGGAGGTTTCCTTGGCGCTGTTGAAGCTGGTGACCTGTTTCTCCTGCAGCGCTTGATGAAACCATTGATATTGAGATGCAGGCAGATAGATGGAGGAAGCCCCTTAAAGTTGCTGAGGTGCTTGAAGCGCTCAGATGCGGGGAAGTCACCTCTGCAGCCAGCCCTGCGCTTCTGCCTTGGGCAGAGCCGCAGGAGAAGGCAGGCCTGGCGCCGTGGCTGTCACGGGGCGCAGACGGGTGGTAAAGAGTGGTGCCTCTTGGAACTGGTGCTTTTGGGAACTCTTCTTAAGAGTGCGAGGGGACTCAGGGGCTCTGCCTTATTCCTACTAACTTCCCAAGGCTTGAAACTGTTTCAGATGAGTACGTGGCGAGTCTTCACCTCCCAACGTTTGATGCGCACCTGACAGAACTAACAGACGAGCAAGCAAAGTACCTGGGACTGAATAAGAACGGGCCTTTCAAACCAAACTACTACAGGTGCCGCTCCCAAACCCTCTGTTTTCTTCCGCAGTGAGGCTACGGCCCACGTGCTGGCGGGGCGGGAGGAGGGACTGGGTTGGGCCTGTTTGAACAAGGGGAGATGCTGTGGTTAAACACGATCCCCTCGCCCGCTGCGAAGGTATTGCTGGCTTGCCGTTCGCTCCCGTGGCCGCTCAGGAAGCGGCAGAGGGGCAGCCCGAGAGGGGACGGCGCAGCTGGGCTCTGACCCAGAGCGCTTGGCGGGACGCAAGCCGTTTGCAAGACAGCTGTCATCCTGAGGTGGCAAATCGCAGAGCAGTGCCACCCGGCCAACTCAGCTGACAGCTTTTATTTTTAAGGACTGAC